CACACACACACACACACACACACACACACACACACACACACACACACACCTATTAAAAAAAAAAACTATTTGCAGAGCCATTGGTCTTGAATTTTCTTTTCTCAGTCGAATGTAAGATTTGGAAAGTACCACATTATGGCCACTAGATGGAGCTAATGAGTAGGAAATAAATACTTCTCTCCTATGAACCTCAGCTCCATCTTGAGGCCATAAGGCGGTATTTACTTCATTTGAACTTCAACTAGAATCTGCCTCTATTTGCACAGAACAAACCTTTACAGAGATTTGCAGGGCGAATGGCTCTGCAGATTGCAAAAAAAAAAAAAAAACCCCAAAAGAACCTGTATTTTAAAAAGTATAGTTTATTTATTTTATGGGCTTGCTCACATGGACTTTCAAACTACTCCAGCATTTAAATATGTCACAGGACAGAAATATGAAAACTGCCACTGCAACTAAAATGATGGAAACTCTAAAGCCATCATCCTCGGTTTTGTTTAGAAAGGAAGGTAAACAAACTTTATACTAAACTAGAGGAACTCACTACCTGTCTGAAGGATAAGCAGGATAGGCGTTCACTGACACAATTGAATACCGTTAAAACGAAATTGAATCTCCTACTAGATCAGCCCTCTGAGAAGCTCCTTAGATGGTATAAACACAAATTCTACTCCAGATCAAATAAACCAGGCTCCATGCTAGCTAGAAAACTAAATGCACTCCCACATAGGTTTGCACCCCTTAGACTTCGAACCCCACAGGGAAATATTACAGCAAACCCGAACAAAATCCTTCATTTGTTCCAAGAAAATGTAACTAAGCTCTGCTCTGCCTCTAATTCATTTGATGAACTCAAAGCGGGCGCACTACTTAAGGACCTCCCATTCCCTACTATCCCACCGGCATCCCTTGACCAACTTCATCTAGAAATAACGGAGGAGGAAGTGCTGAATACAATCAAATCCCTTAAAATATCTAAAGCCCCCGGCCCAGATGGGTTTTCAACCCTTTACTACAAAAAGTTGGCACCCATATTGGCACCTAGGTTAACGGACATGTATAATTCATTGCGCAAGGGGGACTCCGTACACCCCTCATCCCTGTTAGTAAGCTCCCTAAGCTACTGTACTATTTCAGAGTGTTGGCGATAGCAGTCCCATCCTTTATCCTACGAACTTTCCAAAGGAACATCTTGTCGTTTATATGGCACCCACTACGCCCCAGGGTCCCAAGGTCCACATTATATAGGCACAAACGAGAAGGGGGGATAGGCCTTCCGAATATCCTTTTCTACTACCAAGCATCCCAACTGCTACTGCTAATTGCTATTCACCGCACAACTAGTGGTCCCACTATGGACCATGTTGGAAATTCCCCACTGCTCCCCAATTCCTTTACAAGCACTCCCCTGGTTACCAGCCGTAGATAGACCCCGCTCTCAGTCCTCCGATGAAACATACCTTGAAAGTGTGGGACTCACTGAAGTACTCCAACTTGGTCATCTTAAAACGCACAAACAGATTCCTGATGCAGAAATGTTTAGGTTTATTCAACTGCAGCACTGGGTATCCTCTATGCAGGCACGTAGACATTTAAATGCCCCACTTACCTGCTTCGAGTACATCTGCCTTTATGCACCAGGAGGGCCTCAACAGGTGTCAATTTTATATTCTACTCTGAATTCCTTAACTCGTATTAGTTCCCATTCTTATTCTAACAAATGGTCCGCAGACCTGGGTCTGCATTGGTCTGATCATGATTGGAAGGGGGTGTGGAAAAATATTTCCCGGTGTTCCAGTAATGTGACAAATTCTGAGGTTGCCTATAAAGTATTGTTTCGGTGGTACCTAGTTCCAACTCGTTTAGCTAAAATGTATCCGTCATCATCTACTAATTGCTATAGAGGATGCTCGACCCCGGTGGACATGTTACATACCTGGTGGTCCTGCCCCTTCGCTGCTCGGTTCTGGACCAGAATATTTTGTTTACTTTCGACTCTATTCGCCCCAAAGATATCTCTAAAGACCCAACACAGGCTCTACTTCATGCCTCAGTACCCGGATTGAATAAATCTCAGGGTGCTCTGGCTTACCAAATATTCATTGCTGTCAAATTAACCTTAGCGGGAAACTGGAAAAAACTATTTATCCCGTACCGGGAGTTTGCCAATAGATTGGATAATGTTCTCTTAAATGAACGGTTATCATGTGTCCTCACCGATACACATGCCCAATTTCTTAAAATCTGGGAACCATGGATTATACATAATCACCCCGATCTGGATATCAACACCCTCCACCGCCTGTGATGTGGTCTATAGAGTCAAGGGGTAATGAATGTGGGGCCCTTAGTTGCGAACCGAGGACCTGTGCAATGGACCCAAACCACAAATCGAAGCTGACTGACCGATTGACCCCCTACTTGTTCTCTTTTCTTTCCTTTCCTTTTGTCTTCTATTGCATTTATGTTGATACATAGTGTTTGCATTACCATACTATTGACCAAATTATGTTGCCTATGTGGCTGGCAAATGCTGTATAAAATGCTGATTTCTACCCTGAAAACCCAATAAATATTTGGTTACAAAAGTGTCACAAGTCTGCAGGAGCATCTCCTATTTCTAAAGTGGCGATTGGCACCTGACAAACATTTAAGAACATTATATAAAGTCTTCTGGATACTTGTCTGCAACACTTGTCTAGAATAGCCTATAACACATCCTACACTTAAGGAAAGGAAAAAAAAAAAAAAATGGATCACATTTTAAAGAGCAGCTAACATTACCTCCTCAACTTCAGGGTATAAAAATAGGGATTGCGGACAAATGAAACGTGTTTAAGGAATTGGTTGTCAATTTATGCTTTACTGAATTATTTGGCTACGTTTACCTGTTGGACCATGTTGCATGTAACATGAAACATTGTCACAGCCCAATGCTTTACTAGCTCCAGTGCAAAACAATAAGTGCACATTCTTTGTTTTTATGACCATGTATGCATTTGCTTTTTAAGTTCTTCCAGCTATTCCTATCTGTGAGTGAAGATTGACTTCTCCCTCTTCCCCTATATTTGGAGGTTTATAGCAAATACCCTTTAAGGGCATGGGTCCTTTAAAAAGGAGAACTATGGGGTTAGGGCTTTTCCCCATAGTTCTCCTTAGGGTAACAGGAGGACACAAACTAGCGTCCTCCCGTCGCCCTAAGCTCAAAAAGCGTACCGACAGGCAAACACAAGGTTTTGCCAGTCATACTGGTTGTGTCCTACAGTCCCTCAGTAAGATGTGCTTTCATGCCTTTTAAAGAACTCTGAGGATTTCCCTGTCATTTCCATACAAGGATGCTCTTGTATATCTCAAAATGGCCAACAAACATCCAAACAGTCAAGCAGGCTGGCATGGGTGATGGTATAGTATGCAGAGCTGAATGCCACGGAGAAAAGGGTTTTCCTAATGACATATAAAAACATACGCAATGTGTTCTACATTCTATACAAGCTCTCTTTATCAGCTCACGAGGCTACACTGAGCAGGTTTCATGGAACCTGTGTAACCTGTTTTAAGTGATGCGTGTAACTACTTGGGATACAGAGATACTGTGGAATAAGATCACACAGTTGGAAATACTACATCTTAGCCTCTGAAGAAACCACAATCCACATACCTGCTATTCTCATGTTTCACACCAGCTATGGCAACGTTCTTTTAAACTTCCTGAAACAATAAACAAAATAGGAGCATTACTGTGAGGATACAAATACACAATGCTTCCACAAACATTTGTTCACTCTTTCATGGCCAGAACTACTCTCAGCTCCACGTCTGCTGATCAGCACCTGATCTCATGTGAACAGGCCCTAAAGGGTATCTATGGTCAAAACTCCATTCATTCCAAAATTGAGTGTTAAAATGAAACAAAATTTAAAAGTGACATTTATCAAGTCTACTGAATGATCTAATTAGATTTTTCCAAATAAACTTAATATATACACTGATCAGCCATAACATTATGACTGCCCACCTATTATTGTGTAGGTCCTCCTTTTTCCACCAAAAACAGCCCTGACCCGTCCAGGCATGGCACATATGTATGTGTATATACACCCACTACCAGGTGTCATTGTAATGATAATTATGGCTGATGGGTGTGAGATAGATAGAAAACATGGCTACCAGTCAATCAGCTTCTCTCTTCAGTTTGATTAGTCAAGATTTGAAAATAAAATAAGGAGTAGCTGATTGGTTGCCATGCACAGGAGAAAAAAAAAAAAAAAAGAAGGTGGGGGGGCAGCTTGATGCTTTTAAATGTCTTGCAACTGCTTACCTGGGTCTGCGCGAGCACTGAATCAACTACAAACTGTATTAGACTGTTACATATTTTATAAAGGTGGGATAACAACATACTTGATTGTTATTTACCTCATCATCCATAAAAGTAAAAAGGCAAAAGGCATTGTAAACACATCTAAAAAGGCCTCATTCAGAGGGGTGGAAGACACTACCGTCCATTTGAAAAGCAAATCCGCAGTGGATCGCTTTTCGGAGGGTGGTAGAGTCAGCTGCTCCTCTGAAGGAGGCCTTAAAGTGGATCTGCGGTGGATGCTCAATCCTGACAATTAAGTGCTGGATTTTGGCTACAAAAAGGAGAAGCATCAAAATGTTTCCTCACAACTGAAAACCAGGAGTTGAAACATGCTGGCAGCAGGAGAATTGGGTGTCAGATATTACTTGGTAAAGCACCAGAAGGGCTCTATTAGACTGGGGAAAGGAGCTGCATATTTTTTGTTGGAGACAGCAATCTTTTGATATTTAGCCTGGGATAGGCTTAAAGAAAACCTAACAGGTTATGACTATTGGTTTTTAAAAACAACATGCAAACGGTTCTGCACCAATAAAAATCCAAAATGATTAATCTGCATAGCTTCCTGCTCAACCGTAAGTTTATTGTGTAAAAGTTATGCACGTGTAAAACAGAGAGTCGGTCATGACTGGAAGATGTGGAAGGCTGCCAAAAGCATGATATGGTAGCTTTTGTGCCTGCTCTTAACACCTGTAGCAGTTTGCTCTCCCTTTCTCCCACTAACAGAGTATCTAACACACATTGCTTTTCCTAGATTCTTTGAGTTCCAAGAATTTGTCATACACCATCCAAACCAAAGTATTTTAATGGAGAACTATGGGGTAAGTGTTTTTCCCCATAGTTCTCCTAAGAGTCACGGGAGGACATAAACTAGTGACCCAAAGCTCAGTATATCGCGAGCTATAGATCACGGTATACTGGAGATCGCCGCAGCCAGGACAGATCCCGACATTACTGTCGAGATCCACCCAGCTGCGCGAGTGATAGTTGGCTATGCCTATCTAGAGGCAGAGCCAGCTGTACCCGCCCCCTCCCAAGTCCGTTCTGCCAGTCAGCGCTGGAGGATCGGACAGGGGAGGGGGGGGGATCCCTGCAGGGAGCCGTGAGTGACAGTCACGGCTCTCTGCAGGGAGATGATCGAGAAGTGAGCAAACGACGGTATGTGTTCGCTCACTTCCCGATCTATTGAGCCGACCTGTGACAGTTTCCTTGTCACAAGTGGGCTTGAACTATGAGGTTGAGTGAAAATCACTCACCTCATAGTTCTCCTTTAAATACAAGGGAGAAATGACAAATGGAGTTACTTGAATGTGCAGTAATGTGACACTAAACTCACAAAATTACATTCAAGTACCTTACCTATTAACACAAATGTGGCTCTTCTGTTATCACTCGGCTGCACATCCTCAAATCATCTCTGAATTCATGCTGACACTATCCTTCCTTCTGGACGGTGGCTACTTTTGTTCCCCATGGTCCCATGTGTGTGTTGTAAAGTAGCCATTCTCCAAGCTCGCTTCCATGATGGACAACAATCTCACGTTTAGTTTACTAAATTTGTATTGAGATTGTGGTCCATCACAGGAACGAGCTTAGAGTGCTGGCTACTTTACAACACACACAGGGACCATGGGGAACAAAAGTAGCCGCCCTCCCAAAGGAAGGAAAGTGCAAGCATCAATTCAGAGATGATTTGAGGATCTACTGCTGAGTGATACACAAATAAGACACATGTTTTGTTAATAGTTAAAAAAAGGTACCTGAATGCATTTTTAAGATACAATGCCTGAGTTTAGCGTCACTTTAAACTGGAAGAGATCCTTCTTCTTGAGCTCATGTTACATGCTACCCTTGGTTAACAGTATAAAGACAGCAGTTCCTGTAGCTCTCTTCCCCAAGTGTGTCAAAGCTAAAACAAGAGGAACCCTATTATATTCAATGGCCTCTGTTTACAGCGGAGCATTAGGTTACCAATCTAGCGAAGCTTGAAAAAGTACAGGAGATTCTTTTGGGACAAATTGTGCGTTCTGGCCTCAGACTTTAATAGGACTGCCTGAAAAATGCTTTACACACGTTTTTCCAGGCACTCCCATTTCAAAGTATGTGGGGCCAAATACGGGCGACTCGTATGTACAAAGGCACAAAAGAAGGCTCTAAATCATCTGGCTAAACTCAGATCACGTAGATGTTAATGGAGCTTTATTATTTTAAGATTTCGAGAGCACTTGCGACATAACAGAAAATCACTTCCCATGCAACACAGCAGAAACTGATCCCTGTATGAAACAAACAATAACTGATGTAGTCAGACAATAGGACAAATTAATTTAGCTGTAGCTAAGGAAAAAAATAAAATAAAATTAACCTAGCTGTAACACACATGCTATTTGCCACAACAATTGTTATTCTTTCAGTTACACAAGTCTCATTTTCAGCACACACCAAATTATAGTAAAATGACAATTGTTATAGCTTAGTGGAGTGAGCCAAACTTGACATAGGTCACTTGTATATTAGAAATTAACAATGGAGGTTATGAATAAGCAGACTTCCAAGAGTTATAGAGCATGTCCACCCCAGTGTCCTGACTAAATAAAGGCAGTTAGGGCTCATCCTCTGTCCCTCTTACCACTCTTCCATGGTGTCAAGGGGTGCCCGCCTCGATCCGCACGCATCCGACGGTGGGAACGACATGGCAGATAGCGCGCAAGGTGTTTGACTCCAGACGGATCTCCCCTACGCCTTCTCCGCTTCTCCCGATCATTGGATCCCCAGAGTTCATCCCAGGCCTGCAGGACCCGGGGTTTAGACGTCTGCGGGACCGGGACCGGGATCACGTTAGAGCCCAACATTTTCTCCGCATTTTTTTATTATTGTTTATCCGATTAACCGATTAATCGAACTTAATAATCGGCTAACTAATCGATTTTGAAAATAATCGTTAGCTGCAGCTCTAAATATTTATATTTAGTAAACTTTTCAGTTCACACATGGATCACTGGTGCATGCGCCCTACCAAGGTCCAGTCACACTGTGGCAGTACGGTGACACTTGCAGTAACACAAGTAGGTGTGATAGGGTGCCATTCTTACTGACACCCTAAACGCACCCTGCAATTGTTATATACATTGTGCATTTCATCTGAAAAGCTGCATTCCTGAATTTTGTTTTTTCCATTCTGGCCTGTTGACAGTTCAATCATGGAATGCGCAGCTTTAAAGCGGAACTCCAGGACTGCAAAAAAGTAACCCTTGCAGTGAGGGCTACCACCCTACTGCAAGGCTTTATTGCTCGTTTTGTCTAGGGGCAAACGTAAAGAAGAAATACCAGTCCCCGCAGCCTCTTCACCCCAAGGGTCCAGCAATCTTGGGACCCGTGACATCACATCTAATAAAGGTTTAGGAGGCGTGAAGAAGTTGAGGGACATTCCACAGCCGGAAAGGAGGGTGGGACAAGTGAGCAGTCACTGCCGAAGGACGCAGTACCAAGGATCGTACTTCTCTATTGTCACCCCTAGAGAAAAACGAGCATTTAATTGTGCACAATCCTGGAGTTCTTTAACTCAAAGCCCCAGAGTGGCAAAGTGTAAATGGGCCCTTAATGAAGCACATTTTCAGCCAGGTTACTACAAGATTACATTAAATACAGTCAGGTATTTTTGATAGTTTTGTAAATAAACTACTACAAAATTTAATTATTAATAATACACGTGCTTCACATAAAAGCTGAACTTGCCTAGGGGGAACATCAAAAGCAACTGCTTGCCTTATTTCTCGCTCCCACACGCTTCCTCCCCAGCTGCACAACCAGTTCCCCAAAGCAGATTCTCCTCTCCGTGCATTTGGTTTCAGATCACCACATACAGTGCAAAACAAGCAGTCCTACAATGCAAGCCCCCATTTACACCTAAACGTTTTGCAGGCATTTGTTTCCCGTGTTTGGTTTGCTCTGTGTTCCACGTTCGTGCATGTTTCGTGAACTTGCATCAAATGCGCACAAAAGTGCCCCCAGACAAAATGAGCACTTTACCCTTGCTGTGCAGTGGTAGCCCATGACATGCCCATGTGTGAACGATGACTAAGTGAGGATGAGGGCCCACCCACAACCCGGAGCACCATAGAAAGGAGAAGAGAACCGACTGCTGGGGGGGGGATTGGGCCAAGGAATAAAGGAATAGAGCAATCGTAGTTCCTTTTTCCCCTTCCCCCTAGCAATTCAAAGCAAATTTATAAAGAAATGTCAACCTTCCTTGAAAACTCTAGATGGTCCTGCTCCTGTCTTTCCCAAAGCCTTCGGGTCGGTCCTTTACTCTGATCTGATGAACAGACTCACCAACTAAGGCAAACCAGGGCAT